TTTTTTTTTTTTTTTTTTTGGCCAGATTGACCGTCACATGTGGCAGCTTGAGGGAGCTTGCATTCTCTTGAGTGCATGTCGTCCTCATCCCCGTCAAGTGCGGTCAGGACCTCCCAGGACAAGCCCGAGACCTCAGGTCAGCCCTGCGGCGGGCGGGAACCACCGTCCCAGACCAGGTGGCTGCTCTAGAGTCTCCGTGTTTGAGAGGAGAGGGGCGGGTCCGATGGAAGTTAGCATGGACCTAAGTCCCCCAGAGCACCGGAGCTGCCACGCCAGACGGGAAATCCTGTCTGTGTCATACCGTGACGGCCCGCAGGATCAGGCAACTCCTAGCAGAGACCCTGGTTTTTTTCCTGTGCCCATCCTGATGCCCAGGTCACCAGGAGGGCTGCTGGGAGCGCCTCCTGCCCCTGCCGTGCAGTGTCACTGAGTCCTGGAGATCCTCCCTGCCCCGCTTGTCTCTGGACCAGGACTCACGGTGCAGTTGAGGTCTGTGTCTGCCCTGGCTTTTCATACAGGCTGATGAGTGGTCATCACCCAGATGGTCTCTGGGCCACCAGGCAGCCTGGGGCAGTGCGTGTGCCATGTCTCAGCACAGCCTCTCTGCCTTGGGAGCAAAGGCAGTACCTGCTCTGCTGTGAGCCGCCAGGAACACTCCTCCCATCAATGGGGGTGGAGTATTTTTGCCAAAATATCCTGTTCAATTACGGTAGCATTTGATCAGTTGAAGGCTAGACAGTGTGAAGTGCAAATAAGTTAGTGCTCCTCCCGAGGCCCCACCAGCTCCGGGACACTGCTGTCCTGGCATTTGTGGGCACTCACTTTGTGGGAAACTCACCTCCTTCCTGAGTTGCCGGGAGGCTGGACCAGTCCCGTCGTGCCGTCAGGTGGGCAGTGCGTCTTTCCAGAAGGTCACGTGGAAATGTCTCGGGGCTTGGGTCGCAGAGCGCTCGTCAAGCGTGCGTTTTTTTGCTCTTGAGGTGCATTTCTCATCATCCTTGCTTTACCACGATGAGCAGTGCGATCGGGTTTTATATGCAACTTATTGTATTGGAATTCCTGTAGCACACCTCATAGGTATGATTTTTTTAATTAAAGAATTCAGAATAAACTTTTTTTGATCCACTTGCGTTGGTCTGTGGTCACCCCGTTCTGCAGTGGCAGCCGTGCCCGCCCCCGCGTCCCGGACCTGGGCTGGCGGAGGCCCTCTTGCTGTCCTGTGCGTCACACATGCTGCTCTGGGTTAGACCCCACTGTGCCTTCCCCTTCAGTGTTCCTTAAAAGGCGCTGCTTCTAAAGTGAAATTATTTACTCTCACAGATCATCCAGGTTTTTTTGCACAAAGGTTCCAGGCAAGCAAAATAAAACATTCTGTGCTTACAAGGCATTTCTGGGCTGGGCGCAGTGGCTCACACCTCTCATCCCAGCACTTAGGGAGGCCAGGGCAGGTGGATCACGAGGTCAGGAGATCAAGACCATCCTGGCCAACATGGTGAAGCTCCGTCTCTACTAAAATTACAAAAATTAGTCGGGTGTGGTGGCGCATGCCTGTAGTCCCAGCTACTGGGGAGGCTGAGGCAGGAGAATCTCTTGAACCTGGGAGGCAGAGGTTACAGTGAGCTGAGATTGCACCACTACACTCCAGTCTGGCAACAGAGCAAGACTCCCATCTCAAAACAAAAGTCATTTCTGAATTACAATTCTCAAATCATGAGGGGGATTTTGTTCCCAGTCTCGTTTAGCTCAGAGGCACTGGAAGTTAAAGTCTGAGGGGAATAGTGGCTCTCAGGGCGCAGGGGGTGCTGGGGAGCTGGGCTCCAGCTCACACCTCCTGGCCATCAGGCACTCTCCCAGGGCGCTTTCGGGCTGTGTGACATGTCTGCTACCGCTTCCAGCCTGGGTGGTGTCGGACCCCCGGGGCACTGCCTCCTCCCTTGGGCCATCCCCACACCTGCCTCTGGTTTAGTAGACAGCACCTGTGCCAGTTCTCGCAGGATCCGAACGTGAGAGCACCCCACCCTCCTCCCACGACTGTGCTGCCGTGGGCCCTGCATCACAGGGTCGGAGCCCTCACAGTGAGGCCTGTCCCACACGGGGCCCGTCTGCCGGGTGAGATCGCTGGGTCCTGAAGAAAGGAGGCTTTGAGCCAAGGGAAAGGCCCAGCACAATGTGACGGAGGGAGGGGGCCGTGCAGAAAGGACCCCCGCTGGCCCACCCTCTGCTCAGTCTGGCTCTGCCTGTGCCATCTGCAGGTGAGCGTGGCAGAGACTCACCAGGAGCGGGCCCCATCTTAAGTGGGTGTATGTTTCTGTTCCGTTGGTGGCCGAGCGTGGCCCGGCAGCCCGTGCACCTGTAGCCAACCATCTGAATCTTAACTGCTTTTGTTTAACATGTGGTTGGGGTTGTTTGTTTTGTTTTTTGAGACAGGATCTTGCTCTGTCACCGATACTGGAGTGCAGTGGTGTGATCTCAGCTCATGCAACCTGGGCACCCTCGGCTCAGGACATCCTCACACCTCAACCTCCCGAGTAGCTGGGACTACAGGCGCCTGCTACCACATCTGGCTACTTTTTGTATTTTTAGTAGGGTTGGGGTTTCACCACGTTGCCCAGGCTGGTCTAGAACTTCAGACCTCAAATGATTCTCCTGCCTCAGCCCCCCAAAGTGCTGGGATTACAGGTGTGAGTAGCTGTGCCTGTCCTAGATGTGGTTGTTTTAATGTCAGCTCACTGTACCTTCCGTCTCAAAGTTGGATTCACTCCCCAGGTCCCCTCTGGCCTGAGGAACAGCCTTGGAGCTGGCTTGCCAGGCAGTGACTTGGTCTCAGCCCACTGGAGGAGGGAGTGCAGGAGGTGGACGTGCGTTTCTCTCTCGATGCCCAGACATGGGAAATAATTTTGTCACCTAGGGAGCCATTGGCACACGGGCACCTCCAAGAGCCACTGCAGCCACTGCTGGCCACTTCGGGCACTCAGATGTGGGCACAGAATGGCGAGTGCTCACTTCACCCCTGGAAGAGCTGCCCTGTTATACCTCTTCAGCCCAAGATGTTCAGAGGGGCTGACATGGTATTAACTGTGCATGTGCTTCGTGCTGGGCCTTGGAGGGGAAATGTTGAATAAGAGAGATGGCTTAGCCCTGGGAAAGCTTGCCAAGGCCAGCTCAGCTGTGGAGACCCCAACCCAGGCAGCTCTGAAGGAATTAAGAAACAGGCATAGAGATAGAAAGCAAAAGGTGTGTTCAGAGCGGAGCACCCTGGGTCTCACCGCATTTCCAGCTGAGAGTCCAGAGCAGACTCTGATCCACATGCGGGTATTGATCGACTTAACGACCTATGCAACTTACGACTGTTCGACTTTACGACCACCATCGCTAGCCACGACTGCTTCGCGTCTGGCAGTGCCAACGTTGCCTAGCTGGGCGTACGACAGTGCGGACCAGCTTCCGGCAGCACTACCATCTCCGCGTGCATATAGCCTACTCAACTTAACGACCAAATCGTGTTACCTCCGGTCTGTCGCAACCAATGGTGGTCGTAAGTCGAGCATTAGCTGTACTTAATTTTCTACCTTCCAGTGACAAGTTTTACAAGCCAATGCTCTGTGTTCTTTCATTGGTTACAGGTAAACTAACCAGGCACCTGTTGTATGCTTAGGATAGGTTAAAGACAATCTAGAAAGCGCTCTTTAGAGAGAACAAAGGAAAGGGTCACATACCCTGTGTTCAAAGAACTGATTCATCTGGTTTGAGACATACTCATATTGGTTACTGCTTTATAATCCTTTAAAGAGTTTTCTGCTTTCCGGGGTTGACTGGCTATTCCTCACTGCCACTCAGTAAACAATGTGATTTCTCACACACATCAGAATTTCCTCTCAACAGAAGCCGACACAAGAAATCAGTGATGCCACACTGTGTTTAATTTTTCTCATCAGCTTATTTTTTTTGAGACAGAGTCTCACTGTCGCCCAGGCTGGAGTACTGTGGCGCAATCTCCTCACTGCAGCCTCCACCTCCGAGTAGCTGGGACTACAGGCATGCACAACCACGCCTGGCTAATTTTTGTGTTTTTAGTAGAGGCAGGGTTTCGCCATGTTGGCCAGGCTGGTCTCGAACTCCTGACCTCAAGTGAGCCGCCCGCCTCCGCCTTCCACAGTGCTGGGATTACAGGCATGAGCCGCCGCGCCCGGCCTCCACCACTGTGTTTAAATTCTAAACAAGGAGAAGTCCTGAAAGGAGAACAAGGAGATCTGAGAACCCGGCTCGGGACTGGCCAGAGGCCTCCTCTCAAGAAAAGCTCTCCCTGTTGTGTCCTCCACGCCGGGGCCTGCATGGACTGGGCACGGTTTTTGACTCCTGCCTGGCTGACCTTTAGCTCTGATTTCTTCATCTGAAAGTGAGGATAAAAAAATTAACCCCTCTCTCTAGTCAGATGCCTACTAGAGCCACCACCTTCTTGAACTTGAGATGTATTGCCAGGATACACCTTCACAGTCGGATGGAGCACACTGAATATATCTTAACAAAAGGTAACAATACATTTCAATAATTTTGACTTATTTTGCCTGAAACATTAGGATTCTCTCCTCATCTCAGTCCTGTGTTTGTTTTTTTGAGACAGAATCTCACTCTCTTGTCTCAAGCTGGAATGCAGTGGCACAGTCTCGGCTCACTGCACCGTCCGCCTCCCAGGTTCAAGCGATTCTCCTGCCTCAGCCTCCCGAGTAGCTGGGATTACAGGCGCCTGCCACCACACCCAGCTAATTTGTGGCATTTTAAGTAGAGACGGGGTTTCACCATGTTGACCAGGATGGTCTCG